ATGTTACCTGCAGGGAGCAGCCAATCAGAGTGCAAATAAAGCATTACGGACAGAGAGACAGACAGAATGAGGCTTTTATAATATTAGAATTCTGAATTTATAAGATTTAAGTATTTGTAAGGCCAAGCATACATTTATGACACCAGAAAAATAACAAAAGCATATACTAGGAGATTATGCAAAGGCTCATTCAAACTGGAAAACCCCATTTAATGCTAGAGGGCCCAGCTCTACACTCTGTTTCTGACAGAAGAAGTTGGCTTATGATATACAATTTCAGGTATCAGTACTAATAAATTGCAGAAGAACAGCAGTAACCAGAGGCAGCAGAGATCAATTGTACTGATCAATAGAAACCTATGAAGTTGTCAACTTTTTGCACCAGTGACAGAAGTCATATCTAAAACTCCCTTTTGTTCCATTGAACATAACCTCAAAACGTAAAGCCTCTGGTTAAAAAAAGGCATTGCTTAATGCAAATGCTGAATAGTGAAGGCAGACTCCGGTGCCTACACAACCTAGAATCCTAGCTCCCTAGTTCCTTGTTGCAAACAATGGATATGTACCATCAGGGCTACTATTCATCTCACAAGGGCAAGGCTGACCTGAGTGGAGCAGAGGGCATCTAAGGCTGGCACTGGAGGAGTGCATACCACATCATTTTAAAGGGCGCATTACTGGTTTTTAACTTTCCAACCCTAGGAGGCCTTCTGTTTGTGTTCCATGACACAGAACATTTCCAGCACTGTGTTTGGGGTATGCCACTCTGTACTTCCTTGCCCATTAGAAGGGATCATTATTTTCACAATTTACCTCTTGGTGAATTACAGTGTAATAGCACTACTTTTTAATAGAAGTTAGCCTGGAACTTAACCCCGACTATTTTATTATCTGAGACTTCTGAGGCATTTAAACAAATGATACAACTAAAAAATTCCCCAGCACTTTGAATTTAAAACTCCAGCTTACAACATACAAAGCAAGTTCTGTCCATTTCTGATCCAAGCTTTCAAAGTCAGGAGTGGGAGAGCTTTGTTAAAACTCATGTCAACGAGAAGAAATAATCTGATGTTTTGGATTCAGCTACATTAGAAGCCAGTGTAATCAGTGCACAAACTCAAACTGACGAGGCAACAAAAATATCCCAATAACCTGTCATTTTCCACAATCATGTTCATACTGTCAACCCAAAAAGAATTAGAAGAAAGTACATTTTTTAAAATGGATAAATAGACTGGGCTTAGCTCCACTGAGTTCAACAGAGTTGTTTCAGCTTTAAATCAGTGAAAATAAGATCAAACAGTCAGCTAAACACATGCTTTGAAGTTGTTTTCATGAGTAACCAGGGAAGGAATTTGAGTCACCCATGCCATGGGGAAATCTGAAACTGTCTCATCTAAGCACTTAGGACAAGTTACCCAGAGAGGTGGTGGAAGCTCCATTCTTGGAAGTTTTTGAGCCCCAGCTGGACAAAGCTTTGGCTGTGATGTTACAGTTGGGGGTGGTCCTGCCTTGAGCAGGGCATTGGACTAGATGACCTCCTGAGGTCCCTTCCAACCCTCATTTTCTATGATTTCTATGATTTTTCTCTCTTTCAAACATCTTCCAGATTTTTTTTTTCCTTTTTATTTATAAAACTTCCTTGGCTTTTTAAACTGTAAAATCTCTTCTTTTTTTACATTATATTTGGGTCTCCTCCATAAATATTTTTAGCTTTGTGGTCAAGAACATTGTCCTGGTGTTGCCATATTTACAAAAAGTCTCAAATGGTCATAATGACGGATAATAACGGGAGTAACACACTTACTGGCAGGGAGATAGTTAAAAGCTGACAGTAAAATTCAGATGATCTTTCCTGAGAAGCTCACTCCAGTTTCAGCTTCTGAAGGATTTTAAAGTGGATTTAAAGATTGGTATTGGGCAGGAATTAAGCCCTTGATTCTGATACTTATTTGTTCCAGAAGAGTGTTTCATTATGACTAGACTTTTGGCATCCGTCATGTCTATATTATACTCTCCACCAGTTCTATCCATCCCAGGAAGACTTTCAGCAAAGGTGAACCACAATACTAAATCAAATTTATAGTTCAAATGACAAATAGGTTCCCTCATTGTTTTGTGTTCTGTGTACTCTACAACTGCTCTGTTACAACCACATTTATTTATGACAATTGCTGTCATGACTATAAGAATAAGGCTTGTTCCTAGTTAGAAATTAATTTTCAGTATGATTATTCAGATGCGTGACTGTGTTCTGGTTATTGGAAAAAGGTGTAAAGGGAATAGGGGTGTGGTTGGTTATTTATGTAGGCACAAGCTATGTACACTACTCCACAGAAAGTTAGAGTATAAGAAGTTAAAAGTATCACTGTATCTATCTGAGCTCTATTTTGTGAACTAGTGATGAGCATAACATTGGTATCAATTCTTCTGCCAAGAGTTGGAATTTGAAAACATCTTGAACTGATGGAGTGGAAAAGAGAAGACTGAATATAAGGTCCTAAACCAGAAGTATTAGCATAGCAATGAGGCAAAACCAGGTATAACCTAAGGCTTTCAGTCTATGTTATTAGCGTGCCAAGTTTTTAATCAAGTTTCAAATTTCACATTTGTTAAACCACCCCCCCCAGCAAAATCTAAATTATTTAAACAGGTAAAAATGACCAGAGGGAATAACTAGTTGTCTAAATTTTACTCATGTGTGTTGGTGCAACCCTATTGCCCATGTTTTGTTTTGTTTTGTTTTTAACTTGTCCCATTCCTTTTGCTGGGCTTGGGACAGTAGGAAATTACCAAATCACAATTAGGAAGGAAGGTAATAGGTATAGACAAGGAAATCTTATTTAAAAATAAAAGCCTATTAACTTCACAAAGCAAAGCTAAACTGCTGAGGGGTTTTTGTTTTCTTTTACAAATTGTGAAGCAAATTAGAACTTAAGAGGATTCTAAAAAGCAAAAGCCTCCTACCTTTGTTATGTGTAAAGGCAATCACCAATAGTGGTATCCATAGTGGTATTCGTAACCAGCTGCCATTGCTCATCTTCATTGGAGCTCGGTAGCAAGTACCGAACTGCTGGCTTCTGCAGAACCACCTGTCTGTTTATGAGTCTTATATAGTAGAGGTGACTTTGGCTCAGTTCCCAGATTGTTTCACAAGGTACAGGAAAGGTGGGGTTGCAGAATGTTTAGCTTCCCTTTGCAGGTGCACAGGTAAACAGAAGATGCTCTGACTTTCCTAGGGGCTGGCCAAGAGTATTTGCATTCTGGGAGGAGTATTAGTTTCTAAAAGACTTTTCTAGGGTAAGAATTCAGAGTGACCAGTAAGGAGGAACAGACTCATTTTTCTCAGGTATTGAAGATTCTGGAATCAATACAATTTACGGAACTTTTGAGTGTTTTTTGAGGTTTTTCCACACAATATCAGTTTTTCCAGCACGTAAAAAAATATTTTTATCCAGGATGTGGAATGGAGCCTTTTATGTTTGGGAATCTCATCTCTCTTGAGAAATGGTAGTTGTGCTGATGTGCACAGATTTTCTCTTGGAAACATGAAGAGTCCAAGAATACCAGAAGCCAGCAGTTATGCACCATCAGGGAACGTATAAGAGCATGAAATGAAAAGTGTTCAGTGCTTAGTAGTTGAACATATGCATAGCCTTCATAGAGGGATTCTTCTCCTCATGTGCAGTTCACTCCCAGTGCTGTATATTTGCATATATATCTATCCAGAGTGAAAATAGGCATTTGCTTCTCCCTATAAAAAGTCAGTCAGTCCTGTGCAATTTGGAAAACACTTTTCCTTGCTGCTTAGAAGAATTTTTTTACATCAGGAATGTGTTTAAGAAGGTTCCATTGTATGATGAACAATACAAACAAGAACAATGAGTTTTTGTAAATAGGTCAGTTTATTATTCAGAGATTTATTATTTTCGTAGCTTGACTTTTTATTGCATTTCACTTCTCAGTGGATAGAAATACAATCTTTCAATAGGTGTTGTCCTAAAGCATGTATCCTTTCTAGTTAGTTCTGTATTCAGTGAATTCTGTTTATATATGGTAAATTAGTTTCAGCAACTGGTGGTGGAAGAGGAGTGGGGAAGGATTGAGGGGAGAATGAAGTCTTACATTTTATCTGTTTTCAAACCAAGAGACTAGAAGTGAGAAAGAACCCTGTCCTTATTACAGTTCTTTAAAAATTCAAGTACTTTATTAGCACTATGAGAAGTACAGCACAGGTAAATAAACAGTGCTGCAGAAAACAATTTGTCAAATATTTCCATAAATTCTGATTATTATTGATTTATTGATTTCAAGAGGAGTAGAGGCAGAAAACAGCTGTAGAATGCAGTACATTGAAAAAAAAAGGCCACAAGATAATTTCCAACCATATGGCACAGTGAAAAATCCTAATTAATATTCTCACCAAATCCAGTATAACAATGCTAAGTAAACAGCAGCAATTTCTAAGAAAGTAAATTGTAACTGATATAACTGGTAAAGAATTATAGCAATTATCAAATAGTAAGATAAAGCCAGCCAAAAACAATCTTGTATAAAGTTGCACGTATTAATGAGGCAAAAATATGTCCTTTTGTGAACCATGGCGTTGTCTGACATTGGAAAATCAAATCATATCAGCAGCTACCACTGTGGTTTCTGAAACACCACACTGAATTACTTGTTCTGGGTACAGGGAAATATTGTGGTCTCTCAGAAGTCACAATATAGTCACTTTTGATAATTATGACTTTAAGGACCAAAACATAACCTGTTTTACACCCAAGTTTAACAGCCTGCCTAAGCTTGCATGATACTGAAATCTGCATCAAACTTGGCCCATTATGTCTGTTTTCAGTTGAAATTTTTAATAAAACGTCTCAAATCACATACTATCTTTTGCTGTTGAATTGTAGGGCTGTGCAAAGCTTCGGTCCCTGATTCGATTCGGCAGAGATTTGGCTAGATTCAGTGGCCAAATCTCCAAATCCAAATCAAATCAGGACACCCTTTAATCTCTCCAAATCAAATCGGAACCCTCCGAATCGATTCAAAGAGATTCAGAAAGATTTGGTGATTTGGACATAGACACAGCTTTAAATGTTTTTTCTACATACCTCAAGGTACCAGAGGCTCGTGGATGCTGAGATGCTGGGGTGTATGGAGTATCCCACAGGAGCATAGCAGCCTCCTTAGCACACTGGCAGCAGACCCAGAAGTGGACCAGAAGCACTTCCAGTCCACTTCCAAATCCACTAGGGAGCATGCCAGGGCCCTGCGCCCTGCATCGCCCAGCTCAGTGACTGGTGCCTCCTGGGTCTGGGGAGGAACCCGTGGTCCCCCTGCAACCAATCGCTGAACCGGGG